TGAAATGTTTGGAGAAATATAGGCCAGGAGCAGGCGGGTGGGACTAGTTTAGTTTGAATTATGGTCAATGTGGACTGGTTGGACCAAAGGGTCTGTTTCCATACTGTATGACTCTATGACTATTAAGCGAAGACAAATGCAGATCCCTCAGTATCAATAAACTGATGTTAAAATGGGAAACAAAGAGATGACAAACCAATTTATTGTATATTTTGGTTTTGTCTTTACAAAGGAGGACATAAGCAATATCCCAAACAAAAGTTGGAGAATGCAGGGTCTAGATGAGAAGGAGGAAATGAGAGAAATGGTGTTGGGGAAATTGATGGGATTTAAGGCCTATAATGGCCCAGCGCCCAATATTCTACATCCCAGAGTACATAGGGAAGTTGCCCTAGAAATAGGGGGTGCATTGGTGATCATCTTTCAAAATTCTATAGACTCTGCAATAGTTCCTATAGACTAACTTCGGGCATATCAGATAAGGGGACAACTATGAGAAGGAGGGGAGTCAATGCAGGACCTAAGGGCCAACTGTTTCATGCAGAGGGTGCTGCCTGTCTAGAATGAGCTGCCAGAGGAAGTGGTGGAGGTGGGTACAATTACAGCATTTAAAAGGCATCTGGATGGATATTTGAATAGGAAGGGTTTAGAGGGATATGGGCCAAATACTGGCAAATGGGACTAGATTAATTTAGGATATCTGGTCGGCATGGACGAGTTGAACCAAAGAGTCTGTTTCCGTGCTGTATGACTCTATGGCTCAATGACTCTATAACTGAAATGAGAAAAATTTCTTCAGTGAGAGGGTGGTGAGTCTGTACAACCCATTACCACAGAAGGCTGTGGAGGCCAAGTCATTGAGTGTAGTTAAGACAGAGATAGATAGGTTCATGATTAGTAAGGGGATCAAGAGTTACGGGAAGAAGGCAGGAGAATGTGTTTGAAAAACATTTCAGTCATGATCGAATGGTGGGGCAGACTCAATGGGCTGAATGGCCTAATTCTGCTCCTATGGTCTTATAAATTGGAGGGTAGCTAATATAACCACACTCTTTAAACCAGGAGGTAGAGAGAAAACAGCGAATTATAGACTGGTTAGCCTGATATAGGTCCTTATAAAAGATTTAACAGCTCTGCACTTGGAAAACAATGACAGGATTGGACAGAGTCAGCATGGATTTACAAAAGGGAAATCATACTTGTCAAATCTATTGGAATTTTTTGACAATAACTAGTAGAGTTGGTAAGAGGGAGCCAATGGATGTAGTTTGCTTGGACTTCCAGAAAACTTTTATTAAGGTCCATAAGAGATTAGCATGTAAATTTAAAGTGCGAGGAACTGGGGATAATGTACTGAAATGGATAGAGAGCTGGTTGTCAGGCAGGAAGCAAAGGGTAGGAATAAATGGGTTATTTTCCAAGTGGCTACTGAGGTACCAATCAGTTCTTGGACATCAGCTATTCACTATATATATTAGTGATTTGATGAGGGAACTAAATGTAATATCTCCAGATTTGCAGATGACACAAAGCTTGGTGGGAGGGTCAGCTGTGAGGAGGATGCAGGGATGCTTCAGTGTGATTTGGACATGCTGAGTTTCTGAATGGTGGTGGATTTGGAAAGGTTGGGGGTACAACGAGAGCTGGGTGTCCTTGTACACCTGGTGCTGAAAGTAGGTGCAGCAGTAGTGGGAGGTGAACGTTTGAACATAAGAACCAGGAGCAGGAGTAGGCCGTCCGGCCCTTCGAGCCTCCTCCACCATTCAATAAGATCATGGCTGATCTTTTCGTGGACTCAGATCCACTTACCCGCGTTCTCACCGTATCCCTTAATTCCCGTATTGTTCGAAAAAAATCTACCTTATCTTTAAAAACGTTTACTGAAGTAGCGTCAACTACTTCACTGGGCAAGGAATTCCATAGATTAACAACCCTCTGGGTGAAGAAGTTCCTTCTCAATTCAGTCCTAAATCTGCTCCCTCTAATCTTGAGGCTATGCCCTCTTGTCCTAGCTTCACCTGCCAGTGGAAACATCCTCTCTACTTCTATCTTATCTATTCCCTTCATAATTTTATATGTTTCTATAAGATCCCCCCTCAATCTTCTGAATTCCAATGAATATAATACAAATCTACTCAGTCTCTCCTCATAAGCCAACCCCCTCAACTCCTGAATCAACCTAGTGAACCTCCTTTGCACCCCCTCCAGTGCCAGTACATCCTTTCTCAAGGAAGGAGACCAAAACTGCACACAGTACTCCAGGTGTGGCCTCACCAGCACCTCGTACAGCTGCAACATAACCTCTCTGCTTTTAATCTCAATCCCTTTAGCAATGAAGACAAAATTCCATTTGCCTTCCTAATTACTTGTTGTACCTGCAGACCTACCTTCTGTGATTCACGCACAAGGACACCCAGGTCCCTCTGCATAGCAGCACGCTGCAACTTTTTACCATTCAAGTAATAATCCTTTTTACTATTACTCCTACCAAAACGTATGACTTCACATTTATTTACATTGTATTCCATCTGCCAGACCTTTGCCCACTCAGTCAATGTATCTATGTTCCTCTGCAAAGTTTCACAGTCCTCTGCACACTTTGCTCTGCCACTCATCTTAGTGTCATCTGCAAACTTTGACACCCTGCACGTGGTCCCCAGCTCCAAATCATCTATATAAATTGTAAATAATTGTGGTCCCAACACCGATCCCTGAGGCACACCACTAGTCACTGACTGCCAGCTAGAATAGCACTCATTTATCCCTACTCTTTGCTTCCTGTTAGTCAACCAATCCTCTATCCATGCTAATACTTTACCCTTAATGCCATGCATCCTTATCTTATGCAGTAGCCTCTTGTGCGGCACCTTGTCGAAGGCCTTTTGGAAATCTAGGTACACCACATCCACTGGGTCCCCATTGTCCACCTCGCTCGTAATGTCTTCATAGAATTCCAAAAGATTTGTCAAGCATGACCTGCCCTTCATGAACCCATGCTGCATCTGCCCAACGGGACAATTTCTATCAAGATGCCTTGCAATTTCTTTCTTGATAATAGACTCAAGCATCTTCCCCACTACAGAGGTTAAGCTAACCGGTCTATAATTCCCCATCTTTTGTCTACTTCCCTTTTTAAACAGTGGCGTCACATTTGCTGTTTTCCAATCTGCTGGGACTGCCCCAGAGTCCAGCGAATTTTGGAAAACTACCGCCAGTGCACCTGCTATTTCTCCCGCCATCTCTTTTAGTACCCTGGGATGCATTCCATCAGAGCCAGGAGACTTATCAATCCTTAGCTCCATTAGCTTGCCCAACACTACCTCTTCCGTAATAATGATTGTTTCCAGGTCCTCACCTACCTTCGTCTCTTTGTCAATTACTGGCATGTTATTAGTGTCCTCCACTGTGAAGACCGATACAAAATACCTGTTCAATGCCTCGGCCATTTCATCATATCCCATATCTAAATTCCCCTTCTCATCCTCTAAAGGGCCAACGTTTACTTTAGCCACTCTTTTTCGTTTTATATATTTATAGAAACTTTTGATATCTGTCTTTATATTCTGTGCTAGTTTTTTCTCATGTTCTATCTTACTTTTCTTTATAGTTCTTTTTGTGGCTTTCTGTTGACCTTTAAAGTTTTCCCAATTTTCTAGTTTCATGCTGTTTTTGGCCACTTTGTATGCCTTCTCTTTCAATTTGATAGCCTCCCTTATTTCTTTAGACACCCATGGCAGATTACCCCTTTTCTTACAGTCCTTCCTTTTCATTGGAACATACTTTTGCTGAGCACTTTGAAAAATTGCTTTGAAAGTCCTCCACTGCTCGTCAACTGTCCCACCATAAAATCTTTGTTTCCAGTCTACTTTAGCCAAGTCCTCCCTCATTCTATTGTAGTTTCCCTTGTTCAAGCTTACCCAAGGATCCCTAAGGATCTAGGCCCGAAACGTCAGTCTTCCTGCTCCCCTGATGCTGCTTGGCCTGCTGTGTTCATCCAGCTGTACACCTTGTTATCCCTAATGTTCTGGGGACCTGGGTTCAAATCCTGCCATGGCAGATGGTGGAATTTGAATTCAATAAACATATCTAGATTTAAGAATCTAACAATGACTGTGAATCCATTGCTGGAAAAATCCATCTGGTTCACTAATGTCCTTTGGGGAAGGAAACTGCCATCCTTACATGGTCTGGCCTACATGTGACTCCAGACCTGCAACAATGTGGTCGACTCTTAACTACCCTCTGGGCAATTAGGGATGAGCAATAAATGCTGTCTAGCCAGCAATGCTTCTCATCCTGTGAATGAGTGAAGAAGACAAATGGTGTGTTGGTTTTCATTACGAGAGGATTTGAGTACAGGAGCAGGGATGTTTTGCTGCAGTTGTACAGGGCCTTGGTGAGACCACACCTGGAGTATTGTGTACAGTTTTGGTCTCCTTATCTGAGGAAGGTTTCTCTGCTGCGGAGGGAGTTCAACAAAGGTTTACCAGACTGATTCCTGGAATGGCAGGGCTGACATATGAACAGAGACAGGATCAGCTAGGATTATATTCACTGTGGTTTAGAAGAATGAGGGGGAATCTCATAGAAACTTATAAAATTCTAACAGGACTAGACAGGGTACATGCAGAAAAGATGTGCCCGATGACCAGGGAGTCCAGAACTAGGGGTCACAGTCTAAGAATATTGGGTAGGCCATTTAGGACTGAGATAAGGAGAAATTTCTTCACCAGCGATTGGTGAGCCTGTAGAATTCTCCGCCACAGAAAGCAGTTGAGGCCAAAATAGCAAATGTTTCCAAGAAACAGATTTGGTTCATAGGGCTAAAGGGAATGGGGAGAAAGCAGTACTGAGTCAGATGATCAGTTATGATCCTATTGAACAGTGGAGCGGGTTCCAAGGGCATAATAACCTACTCCATTTCCTATTTTCTGTATTTCTATGTTTATAATAGGATTATGAAAAGATTTTGACTTATTTCCCTTGTTTCCTCCTATTAGGGAGAGATGCCTTACCCCTCTGAAGCTTGCTTTGGAATCGAAGAATGTCAAACTGGCCCAGCATGCGTTAGCTGGAATGCAGGTGTGTAATGAGACTCTACCTTCACCATATTCTGCTGAAGGAGCTTGAAAACTACAGTGTAAAGAACACAAAAACAGAGTCTGTGGATGCTGCAAATCTGAAATAAAAACAGAGAATACTAGCAAAGCTCAGATGGTCTGGCAGATCTGTGGAGAGGGAAGCAGATTCATTGTTCTAATGCAATGGCTGTTTGAGTTAGATTTGATTCTGAGTATGCCTCAAGTGGGCAGAGTGTGAGAAAGAACAAAAGGGAAGGTCTGTGATTGGAGTAGAGGATAGGAGAGATTAAATGACAAAGATTTAATGGTGCAGAGCCAAAGAGAATGGTAATGGGACAAGTATAAAAAAAACTGAAAGAACTGCTGTAAATCAGAAACAAAAACAGAAATTGCTGGAAAAGCTCGGCAGGTGATCGGACCTGAAACGTTAACTCTGACTTTTCTTCACAGATGCTGCCAGACCTGCTGAGCTTTACCAGCAACTTCTGTTTTTGTTAGGGAAAACAAAAGGTGGGTCTAAAGGAGGTGTGAATGGCAGTGTGATGATGGGAAGTTATCTCCTGAAAGCAAAAGCAAGAGGAAAACCAAAACCTGTGAAAAGGAAACAAAATGAGGGCACAGTCTGAAATGATTGAATTCAATACTGTGTCCAAAAGACGCTCCCCTATCAGAAAGTTTCATAACAAAGTCAAGACTGGACCCTAGAGAACAAAGAGCACCAAATTCAGAGGATGTGGGTTTGAATCAAGTGAGGGGACTGGAGGAATTAGGTTTCCTGATGCCTCACTGGCAGTTCTCATTGAAACACTCTAGACAGAAACCAGTCACTGTCTTTGTTACTTTGTATATTGCTAAGACAGGACACCCAGACCGAGTTGTATGCAAAAACGAAGTTGCTGGGAAAGCTCAGCAGGTCTGGCAGCATCTGTGGAGGAGAAAACAGAGTTAACGTTTCGGGTCCAGTGACCCTTCCTCAGACCTGTCTGAGCGACAGTGATTCAAAGCCTGCGGTTTGGAGACAGCTCTGGGGGGACTTGACCACATTCACTGAACACAATGGACTGTGACTCTACAACGGTAGATCTGACATTGAGCCATTGTATTTGTTGCTTGCGACTTTGCGCTGTTTGCTTCCTACTGCCGAGGTGCTGACTATCAGCAAGCAGTCCTCTGCAAACTCATTCCTCGCACTCACTCCTGGACTAATCCACTAATGTCACTCTGTTTCAGACTATCCCATTACGGTCACTCACTACAACTAACCCCTGACTGTCACTCCATCTCAGACTAACCCACTGCTGTCCCTCCCTCTCAGACAAGCCAGTAAGTCCAAGTAAGATAATATTTGATTATGTTCTGTCCCCTCCTTTCAGCCTTGTTGCTGACCCAGCTTGTTTTATTGTCAACACTGAGATTGAATTGTTAACCGTTCTGGAGAGGGATGTGCTTGTTTCCTTGGTGAAGAATTCTGTTACCATTTGACCCATTCCACTGTTGGACCAGCAATCAACTGCAGAGGCGGTTTATATGCTTTTTATTATAGGGTGCACACTTCTACATGCAGTATCACTTACTAGACAAAAATGCAAACATAGTTCTCAGGATCTGTGAACATCATGTGTGCTGCTATATTTAAGGAGTTTCTACAGCTGTTTCCCATGGTTAGTGGTCAAGCAGACGTTGGTGAACTTGTCACATCACCATTCATGAAGATGTGAGTAAAATTCATACTACGTGCAAAATAATATTGACAGAACTTAGTTCACAAAAGAACAAATTATGTCCCTATAAATTCATAACTCAGAGATTGAATTTGTATCTATTGGTCAAGCACATCTCTACAGCTGCATGAAATGCAAGCTACAATAAACGTTAAGTAATAACATGAGCAATTAACTTAAGAGCAATGTACGAATCAATTAATCAAACCAATCTATTAAACCACAACAGTCCTGAAATCAGAGTAAAAATCATGAGGTGCGCGAATGTTAATTCATTGCTTAATATATTTGATTTGATTTATTGTAATCATGTGTACTTAAGCATAGTGAGAAGCTTTGTTTGCAAGCAGAATAGGCAGATCATAAATTATGGCTGTCTTTAATTTGATAAAAACATTTTAAATCACAAAGAAATGAAAGTGACCTCAAGAGTTCCAAAGTCCCTTCCCTTTCAGAGGCTTTGTCTTGTGACTGATTCCAGTCTAATCTTCCATGATTGTCCTTGTTGCTTATCGTCAGGGTACGCACTTTTCTCAGTCCCAAGCTGAGACAATTGTGTTAAGGACTGTTAACCTCAGTCCTATGTGGATGGAGAGAGAGAGAATGGGAAAACTGTATGATGTTATATCTTGTTAACTCACTGAGTTGGATAGTACTTGTGAGATTGTGATTGTTGACGGTCATCCCCACTCTGTCCAATTCTGTCAATGCTCAAGATAATCATGTGGAGGCTGGGTTGCTGAATATGTTCAAGGCTAGGTCAGGCAGATTTTTAATTGACACAGGAAACTGGAGTCAAGGTCACTATCTAATCCGTGAGGATCTTATTGAATAGTAGAGCAGGCTTACTCTTGTTTCTTATGTGGAAGAAAATAATATGACCTTTGAGGCCACACATTACTTCTCCTGCCACTGAAAAAATAGGAGACTAAACCCCTAAACATTCAGTGGCATTGGGCGGTCGTCTGTGATGAAAGAGATATTGCTGGGTACCCACCTCCATAACCGTGCTATGTTTTTAGTCTTGCATCTAATCTTCCTTTCATGGAGCACTGACTGCCTGCCGTGCGGTAACTGTGGTAACTTTGCCAGCACTAGACCCTCTGCATTGTGCAATGTATCATGAATCCTATGTTAGCACCTCTCACAATCCTGTTTCCAGCGCTGAGCTTCTCATTGTCCCACTGGCTGGGCAACTTCCTAAGTAGTTTAAACTCATCTGGATCTCTTTCTGTGCTGTAAAACACTCTAGAACTTGTAAATTGACGAAAAAGCTGACTCCCAATAAGTTTGCTTTTCCCACTTTTTATTGTGAGAGACAGATGTCTGTTCAGGTGTCTAGGTTCTCCCAATTTGATGGGCCACATATTCAAGCACTCACACAATGTAACCTTGTTGGCCTCCACCCGCAGCAGAGCCAGACCAAGCTGGCATCTCCATGGTAATTGGGGGCACCAGGCTGCATGAGATTGGGTGAATGCATTGTGTGTATTTACCAATCACTGAGAAGGCTGGAACTAAGATGAGGCCATTCCTAGAACACACACGGGATTCCTTCCAATACTGGCTGTGAAGTAAAACTTGGACATTCTGTGGAGCCACTTCAAGGACAAGCAGCTAACAGTGAGCAAAAGTGGGCATCGACAAATAGTTGGTGCTAGGAATTCAAGGAGGGTGATGCCTCTGACATGTTGATGGCCTCGTTAATGCCACCAAATCTCTAACAGGAGGCAGGGTCATAAAGCCATCCTTCACGGTTGATTAGAGCTTTGGAAAAGTGACCCAGTCAGGGTTTGACAACTCGACACCAAGGGTGACAGTCAGAAATATCCCAGTGAGAAGTAAACCCGACGGTTCAGTTGACATACAGAAGTGAGTCCTCTTGAGAGGGAAGTGAAACTTGCAATGCTGAAAGGCAGTTTGTTACCTGATGCTTTCTGCCAAGACCTCTTCTCTGCAACTCTGACACAGATGGGGGAGAAATCTTCGACAATTTACCTGAATTAGAAATGGGATTCTCTTAAGGTTTTGGAATTACGAGCTGATAAATAGGATTAATATTGGATTGCCCTGTGAGGCATTGGGAACATAGAGTTGTAAAGTTTTTACTGCACAGAAGGAGGCCCTTCAGCCCATAATGTCTGCATTGGTCATCCAACATCCTTCTATTCTAAACCCATCTTCCGGCACTTGACCATAGCCTTGTGTACTATGGGCATTTCAAGTGTTTTTCTGAAATGTTTTGAGGGTTCCTGCTTCTACCACCTGGGCGTAAAAATGTTTCGTTGAATCTCTTCTAAACCTCCTATTTCTTACCCTAAATTTATGACCTTTGGTTAATCCAAAATGGAGGACGAGAAAATGTTGTGGCTGTAAGAGCTGCTCCTTTTTTTTGAGGTATTTTCAGTGTTGGAGCTGATTTCCCCGAATTCTAGGAGCAGTAATTACTGTTTAAGCTGTTGCGTTGTTCTGGAACTTTGGGAAAAAAGATCAAAACAACGGCACTTTAAAACAGGAGGAAGGGAGACGAAGGCAGTGACCACATGGTGGGAAGTGAATCAACTGAGAAAGAAATCTACAGTGCTGTCTGACCCAGCAGTGAACCTTCACAGCTACTGCCTCTGCTGTTTGATTTCAAGTACCTCTGGACATTGGAGATAGTCTAAGAAAAATAAACAAACAGCGAAATTCACAGCTGACCGTAGAGAGACCTGTGTGAGGAGATCACAGCAGGGGAGCAGCTAAGTAGCAAGTTTTTTGTAGTAAATCTAAAGCAGTGAGTAGAGTGGGTTCTTTCTGATTATATATTTTTTTAATTAAGATCTGTCTCTTGATTAAACTTTAAAAATATAAAATGTAGGTACTAAGTTAGCCTGGAGCAGTGTTTTTTTAGAGCAGTAAGACTGTGTTATTTTCTGGGTGTGTAGATTGTTAAGGTGCAAAGTGGCCTTTGGTAGAGTAATGTGCTGTTCCGGTCAGATCTGGGAAATTAGGGAGAGTTTCGATGTTACTGATGATTATGTCTGCAGGAAGTGTGCTTGGTTGCGAATCCTAGGAGCAGAGAGGCTGACGTTTCGGGCCTAGCCCTTCATCAGAAAAGGGTCTAGGCCCAAAACGTCAGCCTCTCTGCTCCTATGATGCTGCTTGGCCTGCTGTGTTCATCCAGCCCTGCACCTTGTTGTCTCGGATTCTCCAGCATCTGCAGTTCCTACTATCTTTGGTTGCGAATCCTGTTGGTTTGCATGGATCGGTTGGAGCGGCAGTTAGAGGCAGTGAGGAA